TTTTTTTGGAAATTTAGGGGAAATGTTTGAGTTTCCTAAGTTTGGGATTTTGGGTTATTTAAGATTATTTACTTTCCTAAAATGGGGTATTTAGGATCTATGTCATATTCTGGACTGGACTATGGTTTAAGTATTGACTATGACTGACAATGTCCTATAGTGTATTAAGGTAGTGGCAAAGAATTAGATACCCGAAACTAAATAGAAATTTAAAATTTGAAATAATTAGAACCGATGCTCAAAAGATGGTGGTCCCATCAGGTGAGTCAGTATGTTGACTGCCATCCTATCTTAGCCTGTCATCTAGGTCTATATCTGAGCATTCTCTAGAATGATCGCACAGTATATGACGAGTTCACTGCATGGCTTCCATCTTGCCATCAATTCTAAAATTTGAAGCTGATTAAATGAAACGAATAAGTTTGAATTCGGCTTTACTTAAAAATTTCTTTAACTCTTTTCCTCCTAAGGCAATCTTTTGCTCCTAAGGCAATCCCTCCTAAGACAATGAGGGATTGGGTTTTCCTAAGAAAGGATTTTAAACTCTAGGGAAGGCTTTTGAAAGGTTTTCCTAGTTTTATTTTCTCTTCCCCATTGTTCTCACAATTCATCGGATCATCATCTTTTAGATCTTATATATGGACTATGACAGGGCAGTGCCATCATTTCTCGGACTGATCTAACTCCTTCGCTTTGAAACACTTTTAGAAATATTATAAAAATAGGGAGTAGTTAGGGGTGGCCATGGGTTGGGTCACGTCCGGGTCCGGCCGGACCTGGACCAGGACCCCGACCGGCTCGATTGGACCTGATCCAAAACTAAAAATGTATATTTAAATATATTAAAATATTATGTTAAATATATAGATGTATTATTTAAAGAATTATAACTAAATATATATACTTAGGTTTATTTAAATATTGATTAAATATTAATAAAATATTATATATTAAATATTTATTTAAATAAGTAACATTATTCGGGTCTGCTCTAGACAAGAGAGGATGGATTTTGATCAGATTTGGTTACTAGGTTAGTTTTGGTCTGATTTGAGGGTTTTTATTGAGAGTAAAAAGAGGGAAGAATGGATTTGGAATTCCATTTTCATGAAATATGGTCAATCTCCAAATAGGAATGGATGTTATTCTGTGTATTTTTTATTTTTATTTTTATTTGTTGTTATTGTTGAATGGTAACTTAGAACTGTTCTCGTGAAATGCCTCTCATAACCGAGTTCCACTTTCTTCTTCCTCTTGTCTTCTCCATGGAGGGGTTTATTGGGAGTTTCTTTTCTTGATGGAGGGATTTGTTAACAGAAAAAGAGAATGAAAAATAGATTGTGAATTCCATTTTTATGAAATGTGGTTAATTTCCATGAAGAAAATGATGGATGTGTATTTGTTTTTGGGATTGTAAACAATGAGACCATTAACCTTTGATACAAGGTGGTCACAATTACTTACAACCATCCGATGTGAAATTTGATAGTTGGATGTGTTACAAAGTTCGAAAAAATTTCTTTTAAATTTTAAGCTTGGTCAATGGAATAATTACAGCCACCCAATTTCACATTTAATGGTCAATATTAATGTGACCACCTTGTAACAAAGGTAAATGGTCTTATTCTATATTTTCTCTTTTTTTTCCTTTTTTTTTCTTAACGGTAAATTGGAACTGTTCTCATAACTTTTGCATTAATTTAGGTATACCCAAACTGACCCCCATTGAAAGTTTAACACATTTTGTTTTCTCGCTGAGGCTGAAAACAATTGGTAAGTATAATTAATCAAATCTAGTAATTACCAAAAATGAATAGCTACAAGTTGCTTTTGCGAGATCATTGGCTTCCATATTGGCTTCATGATAACACGAGGACATCACTTCCATGTCTGGCCAAAATGTCTATCATTTCCACAAAAATTGGGATTAATCTCTATGGAGAATTAGCCTTTTCTTTTTATTGCAGTATTGCAATAAGGGTTTTATTTCTACTTCATTGGTCTTGGCATGGACTTGAGTGGGTTACCACAACATTTCCCTATTGTCTTTAATGCTACCTCATAGGTTTCTTTGGGAGCTCCCATTGAAGTTCAAAATAAGACTCCCTTACTTTGTTTTTAGAAATAGTGAGTAGTTTTTGAGTTAATGGGAATGGAAATTTAGACCGATAATTGAGACTCGGGTGGTATTACCACCACAACCTCAACCTCCATTCCTACAATAGATGAGTAGTTTTCGAATGTGTTAGTGGGAATGAAATCCTCAACCACCATGACCTCAACCCCATTAATAATGATGAATCCTCTCTTCTTCAAATTATCAATCGTGGAGAGCTTACCTTGAGCCATAATCCGAGCAAATGAATGTATATTGTGTGGTAGCGAGAGGCTTCACAGTAGTGGCAAACACCTGATCAAATGTTCTATGCTAATCTAGAAAAAGAGACAGTAAAAGGAATTCGCCTGAGTACTGATCTCCCATATAACTTCTAACTCTCCTCGGGGTTAGTAGTAAACCTGCCATAAGAGGTCCATTGATTGTGTGCGTTTCCAAATGGAAGATGGGGACCGTTTCTGGTAAGGGCTTTTTATGGGTGACCAAAGATCCACTCCATATTTATTGGTGGCCATGCTAATCTTCTCTGTATTTTTCCAATTTTATCAATGTCTCTTAAGAGACCACTCCATTGTTACAAGCCACAACCTTTCTCAACAGCGGGCAAGGCTAACTAGTATAGATCCACCGCCACTTAATAAATAAGATAATATTCGCGAGTTTATGCCGCTTAATGCCCAAATCACCTTTCCTTTTTTCTTTTATGAACAAATCGTATCTCATTTAACTGAGGATGAGGTTTTTATATGGCCTAGGCTTTATGAAAACAAAATAGAACCTCACCTTAAATCCTCATCTAGAAAGTACTTTTGGTGATAAAAATATCTATGATGGGTCTAAAATCAATTCCAGCACAGAAAATAATATTTGAAACTAAAAAAAGGTACAGATCTTGCGGATCTGTGGACACTTATTTTTAAAGCAAAACAAACGGTCTAGATAATTTGTTACAATATACATTATTTGTAGGGCTTGAAATCCTTTTTTTTTTTCACAACCATATTGTTCATGTTGAGATAATTGATGTAAAGTTTTTTCAATGCTAGGCTTGCAATTTTCGATGAGTTATAAGGAGAGGATTTACTTATTTGATAAGGCAACGACCCTATCAAATTAATTTCCTTTAACTAATGTGTGTATGCGAGAGAGAGAGAGATAATTCCCAAGTACCATTCATTGAGCCAAAAAGAAAAGGGAAAAGTTTATATAGAGCCCAGGCTCTAAACAATCAAATTAGAGCCTACATCAAAAATTTCACTGTAGGAAGTTGTTTTGATCTCCAAATATCATCAAATTCATCATCTAGACATCAAGATGCATGGATATGAGAAAAAAAATGGATTTCAACTTTTGGAAATCGTGTATATTGTAACGTATTTTTAGACCATCAAGATTTTTCCAATTTTCATATATTTGCTCGATCTACAGTATTTTTTAAGCTTTGAATTTTATAATTAAAGATAAAAATATATTTTGAGGGCATCACAAAAATTTCTAATATTTAAACCATATTTCTTGATACTATTTGAAGGTGGGCTCCAATTTGATTGTTTAGAGCCTCGGCTCCATACAAACCGCACCTAAAAGAAAAAAGGTGTACAATTCACTACCTGTGTATGTTATGGTGTATATCAAGTGTCTCAACTCCCCAATGACTTTATTCTATTTAAAACTTCGACTAATCTCCACCATCGTCAATGGGAACCCAAAATTCATTTCCAAAAAGACTGGCTAGGGTAACTATATGTGGATACCATGAGTTAGTGGAACATGGGACGGTTAATTTAGGAAATATCTCCCTCGAGTAAAAACTTTATACAACGTTGCAACCTTATCTGTACAAATAAGGTTAAAATAATCTACCTTGTTTGTTTTTTTTTGGATTGTGCCAAATTTATATTATCAAAATCAGTTATTTATAAAACGTCGGGTCGGCACAAAATCACTTGATTTCCACCCGGGAATCGGTCAATCCGTGTCGATTCTAGCAATGTATAGGAAATTGTCTGCGTTTAAAGGAGAACCGGCTATTTGCTACAGTAAAATAGCATTTTGATACAGTAATAATGCCTTTTTGCTACAATAAAAATAACGATTCACCAATTCGAACCTATTTTTTGCTGGTTCACTATTTTCGCACCTGTGTTTTTGCTGATTTACTTTTTTTCTGCATAGTAAAATGGCGATCTGTACTGCTTATTCATCGATTTGGATCGGTTTTTGCGATGCACAATCCAAGTCAACAATCCGTTTTTTAAATCATTGATCAAAATAAAAAAGGGAGAAGTTTATATAGAGTCGAGGCTCTAGACAATCAAATTAGAACCTACCTCAAAAATTTCACTAGAAGAGGTTGTTTTGATGCTCAAAGATCCTCAACTTTATTTCATGGACATCAGGGTGCATAGACATGAGAAAAAAATAGATTTCAAGTTTTGAAAATAGTGTATTTTACAACGCATTTTTTGACTGTCAATTTTCAAGATTTTCAAATTTTCATAGATATGTCGATATAAACTATTTTTTAAGCTTTAAGCTTTATAAATAAAAATAAAAATATATTTTAGAGCTATCACAAAAATTTTCAAAATTGAAACCACATTTCTAGATGCTATTGGAAAGTAGGCTCTAATTTGAGTGTTTAGAGCCAAAAAAAAAATGTACGGTGCAAAGTATCACAACTTTATATAAGTAGCAACTTGAACAAACGGCACCAATATCTCAATTACCTCATCTATGCAAGAGAAAGTACGCCATGACCCATACGACCACGTCAAATTTTCTGGTCATAAAGATCACAGCCGTGCAAACAATGATTTGGACGGTCATGGAGATAATAGGCCACCCAATTGCATATATTCATGTTTGGTGGTCTCACCCTCTTTATCACTGTCCAAGCCAATAATCCTACTGTGATGCCCCTCTTGATCACATGTTTTATGCGATCACATGGATCAGATTATTCTCTGGAGTATTTTAGCAATTTTCCATGTACAATCCACGCAATCTGACGTATCGACTGGTTTCAACTCCCAGGGAGTAAATTTTTTGCATTTCTCTAACCCTAATTTATTCCTCTAAACAGTCTCAAGCTCTAGAGGAACCAGCAAAGAAATGGAGATCTCGAAAATGGCGATTTTTTCTGCAATTTTCTTGGCCATGGCTCTCTTTTCAGCCGCATCAGCAGCATCTGTTGATTCTCCATTTATCGTGGCTCACAAGAAGGTATCTGTTTCCAGGTTTGCTCCGGGGGTTGAGAGGCTCGCTGTGTCCGTAGATCTTTACAATCGAGGAACAGCGTGAGTGAATTTGATCTTTGATGTTTCATTTATGCATGATTCTGGAAGTTTCTGGCTTTTTAGCGATTGGGTTATTGGCCTGTTTTCTGGTCTTAATATGCTAGAATTGGGTGGTTTCATTCGGTTTTTTGATTCGTGATGTGACTCTGGCAAAGTTTGATGCTCTTTTTTTAAATTATCTTGTATCATTTTATGGCTAAATTTTTCATTTTTCCGGCCAATCGGAGCTAGTTTGATGTTTCTCTATAAGTTTGTAGTTATTGATTTACTGGGTTTTAATCTAACCTAATTATGGAGATTTTGTGTATTTTACAGTTAATGATTCTTCAGTTACTATTCCTTTTTTTTTAATTAGGTACTCACACTGACCTAATTTGGTGTTTTGCTTCCGAACTTATCTAACTGGAGTCTCTTCTGAAATTTTTAGGTTCTCATAGGACTTGCCATTTTCATTTGATTTGAAGCTTTTCTGGGAGTCAACTTGAGGTTGATTTATGATTTTTTTTTAAAGGTTTTATTTGTACCATTTCTTGCTATTTACCAATACTTTTTCCCTTTATTGAGGTTATAATGTTTTGTTTCTATGTCATATTTGAATTTTTTTATTTCTGCCAGTGTTTAGAGACTCGCCTCGGGAGGTACTCAGCCTGGCCCAAGGCAAGTTACTCGAATCCGAGTAGACTCCGCCTCGCCCCAGTACTGTACAGGGCCAAAAGCCCTCGAAAATCTTAATAGAAAAAAAAAACAAAAAGAAATAAAATAAAATTGGTAAAAGTGAAATAAAACAAAAAACAACCTATGAAGTCCAAATTAGCTTAAAAAAGTATATACGTTGTGGATTTAAAACAAGGAGATTGTATACAATAAGACCATTTACCTTGATACAAGGAGGTCACAATTACTTACAATCATCTTATTTGAAATCTGATAGCTTGGGTGTGTCACAAAGTTTGAGAAAATTTCTTTTGAAGTTTGAGCTTGGTCAATGGAAAAAATAAAACGATCCAGTGGTCAAGCTTAATTGTGACCACCTAGTACGAAAGATAAGTGGTCTCACTATATACTTTTCCTTAAGATAAATTGATTATAGTTGGGAATATTTCAGAAAAATCCAAAAAGGAAAAAGAAAATAAAAATTAGGTCATATGGCAAAAAAAAACTCCCCAATCTTTGCCAATAACATCCAAAACATATAAAAAAATTTATACATCAATCCCTAGATTTTTTTTCCTATTTTTCTAGTATACCCCGAGTTGGACCCAGTAACTTGGGGTAACTTGGCTTGCCAAGGGGGCTAGTCGAAGTAACTCGACCGAGTCCGAGCGGACTCCACCGAGTCTCATAACTCTGATTTCTGGGACTTTCGCTTGGTCAAATTTGATGTTCAAAATGTTTTGTCACGAATATTTTCAATTGCTCGAAAATGTGACTTTCAGCAAGTTTCTCTGCTGGATGTTCTAATAACCTGTGTCACTTCTTGTCATTTCTATTGTTATTGTTTTAAGTTTTATTTGACCTGCAGTGTAGAGTAAGTTTGCATTATTTATTGGATCTTGGGTTTGGTAAAACTTTAAGATTAGGTATTTAATTTGTAGATCTTCAGTTTGAAGCAGTGTTTTAAAACACGGCGAGTCGAACCGGACTCGCCCGGTTCGACTCAGAAATACGAGGGCCCGTTCCGGTTCCAACCGAAAACCGGGAACTGCCCGGTCCTAGAGTGGAACCGTCGGTTCCCATCCGGTTCAGACCGGTTCTAGAGTGGAACCACCGGTTCCCATCCGGTTCAGCCCGGTTCTAGAGTGGAACCGTCGGTTCCCCATCCGGTTCAGCCCGGTTCACACACGTAACACACGACACGCACGTGCACACGTATGTCCGAGTGCGCACTCACACGCGCACACGTATGTCCGAGCGCACGTCTGAGCGTGCCCCCACGCACACTCACACGTGCACACGTGTGTCCGAGCGCACGTGCGAGCGTGCCCCCACTCACACTCACACGTGCACACGTGTGTCCAAGCGCACGTGCGAGCGTGCCCCCACGCACACTCACACACGCACACGTGTGTCCAAGCGCACATGCGAGCATGCGCCACGCACACTCACACGTGCACACGTGTGTTCGAGCGCACGTGCGAGGTTGCCCTAATATTTTTGTACACATTTTATAATTCATATTGCATAGGTATTTATATACCAAATTTGAATACCCATCTTTCGATGTGGGATAATTCCCAAATATCATTAAATGAAAACGAAATGTAAGTATAGTCTATTAATCAGCAGTTTATAATCACATGTAGTTAGATGGCTTGATGATTATGATTTTGAACTTTTTACTTGAGGTCCCAAGGTCGAATCCCCTTGGGCACCCCCTTGGGCATGTGTTGCATTTGAATCCCCTTGGGCATGTGTTGCATTTTTGTTGTGTATATAGTGGTTGGTATAAATATTTTTGTTGTTTTCGAATCCCCTTGGGCATGTATTGCATTTTTGTTGTATATATAGTGGTTGGTATAAGTATAAATATTTTTGTTGTGTATATAGTGGTTGGTATAAATATAAATATTTTTGTAAATAATATAAAAGGCATAAAAAAGTGAAAAAGAAAAAAATTAATTTTTTATATAACCGTTAATTTTTGTTGTATATAGTGTGGTATAATTATTTTTGTAAATAATATGAAAGGTATAAAAAAAATAAAAATAAAAAGTTTATTCTATTTGAAATCTCCATCTTTCTACTAACAATCTCTTTACTAAATTTATTATAGAAACCTAAAAAAATAAATTTTTGAAAAATTGAAGTGTTATTTCTAAAATTTGTACGCATTTTATTAATTTTTACATTGATAACCAACTCTTTTATTTTATTTATGAATTTTTACATTATAAATCATGTAATGTACTATTTTTCTTACAGTTGTCAATAATACATTTTAAATTAGATAATATTATAAAATATTTTTAATTTGTTATTATTTGTCTAATAAAATAATTATAAAATGTAAACTAATAATTATAATTTTAGTATATAATATTATAATTAGTGAGGTTGTAATAATTTTGGATTATAGTTAATTAGGTTGTAATAGTTTGGGTTTTTTTAGCGGGTTAGGGTTTTTCGCCAAAACAAGATTTTAATGGCCATTCTTTCATTGATTAGTCTACTCTTTATAATAGTCCATATATAATTATATATTTTATCCATGATAATTCTCTGATTTTTCTTTTATGTGATTCAAATTTAATAGTTAAAATAAATTTATACAGGTAAAGAACATCTCAATATTCACAAATTGATTAACAAAATGAAAGTTAATAATGTAGTACCCTCATTTTTTATTGGATTCCTAAAAAACAACATTTATAATGAATTTTAATAATTTTTTCGGATTTTTTTGAAGCTTTAATCCGACCGATTCAGCCGATTCCCGATCCGGATCGCCGATTCGTCGATCCGGAACGGTTTTTGAGGTGCCCGATCCGGGTCACCGATCCGTTTTTTAAACCATTGGTTTGAAGTAACTGAGTATATGATGTGATGCTACCTTGCTTCCTTATATTAGTAATTTATGGAATGTTTGGAGGGGATAGAAGCATGTGTTTCCTGATTTTGGATTTAATTAGCTCATGAATTTTAAAGCCATAAAAGTAGTCCTCCTTTCTCGAATTTTACTTGGAATATTGGGGGAGAATCTCCATTGGAAATGAGGTACTCAACATGGTTATATCTTGGATTTTGGGAGGTTAATTTAATTTAATTAATTTATCTATTCACATTTTCATGGATTTTATGTCAGTTTTGGAGTGGATCACATGCGATTAAGTTTTTAATTTTCTTTTGTTAATTAGAGAAACTTGAACCCAGTTGCTACTCTAGTACCTGTGATGTGTTTGTCATCATGGCTAAACCTTATTGATTGATACTAAGATGCAAGTACCAGATGTACACCATACTTTATTTTCGCAAGTTGCATTTAATTCAACAATGGCTGAAACGTTTGAACGTGATGGTGTGTTGACTGATGCATGATCTTTTCAATAGCATATTAAGACTAGAGAACATCTCTAATAGTTTGAAGCAGTGTTTTCAAACCTGTATCAGCTAGATGAACTAGCCATATCGAAATCTAGTCTGGATTAGTGAATCATTGATCTGGGTTGCGTGAATTGGAGTGATTCGTTGGTGTGTGATAATCGGTCCCAAAAAAAAAAAAATTTAAAGACAAAAAAAAATAAAAAATGTAACATGTGGGAACTGGGAGATCTAGCCGATCTATATTGCCTAGTTCCCTAACAAAATTGCTCGGTTCTCTGATGGAATTGGTTGATACCAAGGGAATCGGACTGATTCCCGGTACTGACAGGGAATTGGGTCAGTCTACACAGATTCCCCAGATCCGGATTGGCAGTTTGTTAAACACTGGTTTGAACATTGATTAGCACCGCATAACAACATGTGACTCATTTTCCCAAGTTGGAGAGATACGCTCATTAAGGCCACTCTTTTCAACTTTTTTGTCGAATCTGTTATATGTTCCTACTCTAGATTTCAAAGGAGGCTGGTAGGAAATTAAGACGAATGTTGAGGAACTTTTTGAAGGGAGGAATTGAGAAGTGAGAACTACAAGTCTCATCAAATTCAAGGATATTTGCAAGCCTAAGATTTAGCATGGATTTTTTCTTTGAAGTCTTTAAATTAAGCATGGCTTGGAGATCAAATGCTCGAGTACAATAGTCAATACCTTTTTAGGCAAATGAAATTGGCTTTTTACAGAAGATCTTGAGGCCTTTTGGCTTGAGTTGTAGACGGTTAGTGCGGTCATGAGAAAAACAAGTGGGGATATAGAGATCTGAGTAGGCATATCTTATGTCAGGGGTATTGTTTGAATATTCCCTATAGTGTATCGGTGTTTAAGATTGGGAAACATTTAAATTTGTTGAAGTCAGGAGGGTAAATTTTGGTCGAATGTGTGGCTCATGGTGGAGACACCTAAC